GTAGTGGTGGATTCGGTTCAGGCCACCCGGCCCGTGACCCGGCCCAGCCCGGTACTGTGCGGGTCCGGGACCGGCCCGGTCGGGCGGTCCGGGACCGGGTGTGGACCTGAACCGGTTGGAATGGGCGGGGTGGGCACGGTGTCGGATAAATGTGACCCGGCCCGGCCGGGTCGGGCCCGGGTCCGGTCTGATTTTTTTTTTTAAAAAAATTGGGCTACTAGCCGTTGGGGTGGGCTGGGGACAACCCAAACGGCTATATAGCTGTTGGGTGGGGTGCAGGGTGGTCCGGGGGGGTTGGGTGGTGGGGGGGTGGGGGGTAAAAAAACCTATAAATACTCCTAATCTTAAACATTTTTTCATATCTTTTCTCCAATTCTTCCTAAATCCTATTCTTAACTCTCTACTCTCTAATTCTCTTATTCTCCAATATATTATATTTATTATTTATATATCTACTTTATAGTTTATATTTTATACTTAAGAAGTTAAGATGTAAAATCAAGATGCCATTATACGGTATAATTTTGATAAGCAGAAGGACCCGAAGATCGGGATGTGGTACGCAATTTGCAAATGGTGCGAGAAAAAATGTAGCATGGGGGTTTCAGGCGGATACGGGATGACAATCAAGCATATGAAGTCATGTGACAAAGCCAAAGGATCGGAAGTTGTGGGAAGTTCCGATTGATTACAATTTTCAAAATGTGTCTCTTAAAGTTTGTTTTAATTTTCAAATGTTGTTCCTATTTCATTTCAAATAAATGCACTTGAAGTTTGTTTTTAATACTCGTATAAAACTATAAAGTATAAACTACTACCTCCGTCCCCCTGTTATTGTCTCATTGCGGTTTACGATGCTTGACTGACGATAAAGCAAACAGATCCTTGTCCGCACTAGAATTATTTTTAGGAAAAAAAAATTGCATATTAAGAAAGTACATTAAAAGGTTTACAAAGTCGCAAAAACCAGAATCAAATTTGATAAAAATTTGATAAATAAAGTAAGAGATTAAGAGTGATTTGTGTTGACCAAGTGAATAGGAAATGGGACAATAATAGGGGGACGGAGGTAGTATAAAATATAAATTATATAAAAAAACTTTAACCGGCCCGAACCGGACCCGACCCATGACCCGGGCGGGTGGCCCAACCCGAACCGGACCCGTCCAACCCTCGGGCCCGTCCCGGGCCCATATGATACGAACCGGCGGCCCGATCGGGCCTAGGCCCGACCCGGCCCGAGTCCATGACTATTTTAGAGAGGTTGTACCTCTCTTCTTGCTTGTGGCTGGAAGAGTGCATGGGAGATTGGGAGAGGGAAGTACATGACTTCTCTCTGTGACTAATTATTAATGATCGATTGATGATGATTATTCCTTAAAAGAATTATAAATAGGCATTCTGTCTTTATATGATTAAGTGATATTCTAACTAGAACTCTAAATTAAATACTCCCTCCGTTCTTTATTATATGTCCCGCTAGCTTGGGCACGAGTTTTAATAGAAAAATAGTCGGGTAAATGTAGTGGTAGGATAAATGATAAAGTAGGAAAGAGAGTATATTAAAAAGAGTAAAGTGGTGATAAAGTAGGAAAGATGGTATATTAAATAGAATAAAGTTATAATAAAGTAGGAAAGAGAAAGTAGTTTGAAAAAAATAAGAGAGGTAAAAGTACTAAAAGTGGAAGTATTTTATCAAAAACTTTCCTAAAATAGAAAGAGAGACAAATAATAAAAAACGTCCCAAAAAGGAATGTCTCTATTAATAAAGAACGGAGGGAGTATAAAGATAACATCAAATTGGACTCCTCTTCTAATTAACTGAAACCCTAAATTAAATATAAATATAACAACAAACTGGACTCCTCTTCCAATTAACCAAAACCCTAAAATGCATCTGTAACATTCACTCCCTCCCTTGATATGAGCTTGTCCCTAGGCTCATATCCTGGATAAGTAGTGACAAAAGTTTTAACGGCTTCCAAGTGGCCTTGTCTTGTGTGGGACCATTGAACTAATAGTTCCATTTATAGCATTGGCAGACAACTCCAAGTCTGGGAAGCCAACTTCTTCTCCTCATGTTCTATCTCGATCAAGAAAAGCTTTTTGCATTGGTGATTCACCGTCCTCTGTTCATCACAAATTCACAATTGCAACATAGCCCTTTTGCTCATCTTTGTGTCATTTCATCTTTCGTGAGTCACTTAAAAATTGGATTTCTTGACCTTGCGGTCATGAGCGTTTGTCTAAGCTGTGGCGGACTAGTTGTTTCATATCTGTTGCGGTACCTGATACTTTGATAGGTGCAAGCGTCATTGTTTGTCTTGCTTTCAATGTCCTTGCAAGGTTCATCGCATAACCCAGGTTGCCTGGTTTTGCTATCTTCACATCAGCCCATAAGTGTGGATGGAGACCGGCAACAAATAAAACAATCTAATGGGTGGAATGTATTTTTGAAGTTCTTGCTAAGGGTTTCTGAAACTGGGCATAATACTCATCAACTGATTTGATCTGCATTAGAAGTTTCAGATCTCCAATCGGGTTAGAACTTAAAGGGAGCCCAAAGCGCTCTAGGCAGAGTTATTTAAACCTCTCCCAGTTGACTTCTCCTTCTTCCTCTACCATCTGATCAAACCACAATTGTGCATCATCTGTCATGTGGAATGATACCATATTCATATTTGCAACACTAGGAGCTGAAATTGGAGGCTAATGTCTGAATTAAGAGCTATTGTCTGAATTAAGAAGATTTTTTCGAACCTTTCCAACAACCTGGTAGGGTCGTATGTGCCATCAAACACAGGAAATTCCATCTTCGCATACTGTGGTATTCAGGGGTTCGAAGTGATGTGTGATATCAGGTTGTTATGGGCTTGCTCCTCATGTGTTTCTGGTGATTAGGAATCCCATTTGTGGACTACCTGATATAGAGCGGCAATCTGTCCTTCTATGGCAGTTACCCTAACAGTCCTAGCCTCCATAAACTCCATCATGGATCATGACAGCTCTAATACCAAATTGTTAGGGTTCTGGGGTTGAGAACGGGTCCTAGGACGACGACTTGGGGTGGCAGGGTACCCGATTGAGGTTGTAACCTGCCTGCTAGGGTTACCTCTCTTCTTGCTCGTGGCTGGAAGAGCGCGGGGGAGGGAGAAATCCATGACTTCTCTGTGGGACTAATTATTAATGATCGATTGATTATTATTCCTCGAAAGAATTATAAATAGACATTTTGTCTTTACATGATTAAATCATATTCTAACTAAAACTCTAAATTAAATATAAAGATAACATCAAACTAGACTCCTCAATCTTCATATTTATGAATTACTACGTATGAATTATGAATTATGATTAGCATCTCAATTATTGTTATCCCATCTTACTTTGTTTTATTTCATTCCTCATTTTGAGATCAGCGTTCTGCCACTTGAGAGAGCCATTCAATTGAGTAATTATTCCGTTTCCTATGACATATAGTTCATTTATTCCTTTTTAGTTGCAACATTCTTAGAGCATCTCCAATGCTACAATGTGCACGGTGCACATGTGGCATGAGAGAGATAGACACAAATGATTAAATTTTCGACGTTTCTCTCTCCTTCTTTCCACGGTCGTATATGTTTTTGGTAAGTTTTTCTCCACAATGTCAAGTACAGTGTCTAGATGTAGACATTGTGGTTGACATTGTTAAGAAAAACTTACCAAAAACATATAAGACCGTGAAAAGAAAGAGAGAGATATTCTATTTGTTATTTTTTAATTAGCTATTTCTCATGCCACGTATGCACATTTCACATTTTTGCATCGGAGATGCTCTTATTTGCACGCTTGCCAATGCACAAATTTGACTATTATTATATTTAATTCTCTATTAGCAAACAAATTAAAAATCAGATTATGAAAATTTATAATGAGGCGAACTCAACAATAATTTTCAAAAAAATAATAATTCATATATTAATAAATAAAAATGTAGTAAAAGTATAACATTTGAATAGTGTAAAATTGTCATATCTTGCAACAAATAAGAAACGAAAGATATATTTATATTGTAAAATTGTCATATGTCTAGAGTTTTAAAGGATTTTATGTTACAAAATTTATATTTGTCAGAGTTTTCTTAACTTTTAACATGAGTGTTCAAAATGCTCAAACAAAAAAATACTAAAGCAATCTCTGTGTGAAACGTGAAAGACTATAAATTGGCTGCATCAGATCAGTATAATAACTTAACACAACTAGGCATGGACTGGGATCGGGCCAGGCTCCGGGCCGATTCAAGCCGGTTTTTTTTTTCAGATGTTGGGCCCGGAACCGGCCCGGAACCGGCCCAGAACCGGCCCGGGTTGATACCGGGTCCGGACAAACCCAGGCCGGTCCAAACTGGGCCGATTCAATGTTTTTTTGCTTTCTAATTAACCCCCGAACCTCATCCTCACCCCACCCCTCAAACCTCCCCAAAAACCCAGTCCTACCCTAGGAAAAGAAAAAAATTGGAAAAACAAAAAAAAAAAGAACCAGGCCCGGACCGCCCGGACCGGTTCAAGAAAAACAGGGCCCGAGCCTGGCCCACCGGTCCAGACCCGCACAGTAGCGGGCCGGTTCGCAGGCCGGTTCGGCCCGGCCCAATCCACCCCTAAACACAACTAACAAAAATAACTGCACAAGGCATAAGCTATACTGCTATAGTAGTTACATATAATATTTATTGGTGTGCCTATATATTCAAGGGCTTTTCTGAATGCAAGGCAGCTTATGATCTCAAGAGTTTTTATAAGATGTGCAAGCGTGGGTTGCAGCCATCAACTGCCTTGTGTACAAGGTTTTAATCACGAGTTCACGAGACTAGCTGAGGAAGGGCATCTTAAGTCATGTATGCTAAGACCACACATGACTTAAGAGAGACCGATTTATTCCCTGTCTCAGACCGATTTATCCCCTTTCTGGGAGAACTTAATCGACTCTATTCAATTAATATTAATAACATTGTATAAATGGAGACAAACGTTATAGACTAATTTACACCTTTTAGCAGTTTTATTTCAAAAACCATTCAAATAAAGATGTGTAAAATTTATAAATGGTCATAAAGTTCAAAGCACTTTAGACATGTGTGGATGAACAATTAAACAATGACATTGGAGGGTTTACAATTTCAAATACTCCACCAAACCAATACGCCAACATCCTATTAACCAAGTCAAGGAATGAGAGCAACATATACGTATACACACCACGTTATTATTACACCAAAGGGAAACCAGACATCAAAATGTGAATAATTAGCAGCAACAGCAACATCAGCATATCTAGTTCTCCCCTTGCTTAAGCATCCGCAGAATGGTGAGGAAGAGGTTAAGAACATCTAGATACAAAGTGACAGATGCCCATATGTACTCATCATATGTGAACCGTTTGATCAAGTTGTCTGTATCATACACGATGTACCCACAGAAAATAATAGCACTGATGGCACTGTAGACAGCCATGGATGTAGATCCAAGAGGGAAGAACATCTGCATGATCATCATTCCAACACCTCATCAACCATATAAAACTCCTATTTTGTTCCTAACTGAACTTCATTTTTACTATTCATGCAGCCAACATAACTCCCCAAATTCTTTTGGGATTAAGGCTTGGATGTTGTTGTTGTTGTTGTTGATGCAGCTAACATAACTCAATTTTAATCTCTAAACTTATGAACCAAACTTACGTATAATAGAATTCAAGTTTTGCAATTCAATTCAACTTTTAATATAGCTTCTTTGAAAATGTGAACTGGAATTACATAAACTAATTTATGTGCTAGTAAGTGGTAATTAACTTTATCATAAAGTGAAACATCCCAAATCATTAAATACAGTTTAATAAAGGATGGAGGTAGTGATTGAATAAAAAAGGAAAGGAATAAAAAGGGAAAAAAGGGTATATGTGAGTTGCCTGGATGAAGCCAGTCAAAACAAGTACAAATAGGCTGGTAAACAAGATTGGCCCAATGAAGCTGAAGTCCTTGCCCTTTTTAGCAGCCCAGAAAGTGTACCCAGTCAAAGCTGAAACTACAGCTGATGTCAAGATCAAAGCCTCAAGTACAATCCTACCTGCGATTATCAAGAGAATCTAAATAATGTAGTGAAACCACTTACAATTGAAAGAGACCTTCTATCTAAAGGTGCAACCCATCCCAGAACTGACTGGATAGTTTGTCGAGAGTTAAATTGAGCTATAATTGCAATTTAGTTGATAAAAAACGAGGTCTGTACCGAGTACTTACAGAGACCCCAATCATCTCTCATAATCCACAGCATGCCTTACATCTCGTATATTGTTCAACTATACGATAAGCAAGGCTATTGAGCTACACTCACTAGCAGCTAAAGAACTTTTTAAAATGAATGGAAGGACCAAATACGTACCATCTGTATTGGCACAGCTCATGCCAACAGTGAGACTCAGAGATGTGGTGAAAAGTCCAAGGAACACAAAATTCAGCGGATGCTTCTGCTGATAGACATGGAGAGGCCACAAGACTGCATTTTATAAATTCTCAGACGCTTTCATACTTTCATGATGTAACAAGCATGTGAATAGAACACCGAAAAATGATTGAGCACTATATACACACAATCGACATGCAGTTATATGATCAAAGAACAAGTGAAAATGTGCAATCTACTCGTCAGCTATGCTGGAAGAAGTTACCAATTACTGAAACGTGCAGACAAAAAATCATGCACACCTCCGGGGATTGTGAAACCAGAGCATACAGATTATACACATAATCACATGAATTACAGCCACAAGGCTGATTGCCGAAATTAATTACGAATGAATCATCCATGATTGAAGCTGATCAAAATTTGATCCATACTCATGAGGAATACAAATAAAAAAAAAGTCCGAACTCATGAGGAATACAAATCCAAATGAAATACAAATCTCAACCCTGAAATTTCTATGCAGTGCCATGTTTGAACGACATATCAGTGAATTTGGAACACCGAAAATCTAGGGTTTGACAAGAAGTGGGAAGGCGGAACTTACAGATGAAAGGGAGGAAAACGAGGAAGAGGAGAAGGCCGGAATTAGTCCTCAGAATCTCGTTGACAGGGGCGTATAAGACAGTTGCGGCGGAGACGAGGGTGGTCAGAAGGATCTGAGCGGCGAGAATGCCATAGACTTTTCGGATGAAGGCCCATCGCAGAAGATTCTCTCCGTAGCCGAGCCCTGGGTACAAAGTCCCTTCCTCTATATCACCTTTCACTTCATCATCGTGGCTGCCGCGGCTCAGTCTCTCGAATCCGATCATCTTCTTGACTTCCTTCAGAAACTCTGCAGCTTTCTTTTGTCTTTCTATCGATAAATTCGAGCGGTGCGGTGGGATTTATCGGTGGACATATGTTTTCTTTTCAGGGAAAATGAAAATTAATAATCCATTCTTTTAAGGATTTCTTACCGGGGTTGCTTTGCGCACCCCAAAATTACTTAATGTTACCCACATTGACTATTTTAACCTTGTTTGTTTGTGCTCATTAAATTCGCGTCCCAAATGTAAAATGAAACATTTTTCATTTACGTAAAGTACAAACTACCAACGAGGCTGGATGCAGCCGCAAGTTTTTTTGCCTAAAGTTTTTAAAATCCCAATGTCTTTTAAGGTCCTTTTTGTTAAATAAATAAATTTCAAATATTTGTGTTTCGTTTACATTTGTTTAGCTCATTCCGGATTTGATTGATCAAGATAATTTTTCAATATATTTTGAATATGAAAATGAAATTAAAAGTTAGATTTATAACTGCTTTTTACATTTTGGAATGTGCTTTGAGTATATAATTGCTTTTTTTAATAAGAAAAAACCCATTAATACCACTCTTTAGAATGTGGTGGATAGAAATATTACATAGTGAGTAAAATTTTCTCCACAACTTTTTTTATTAGTAATATTTAGGGGAAAAAACCCTTTTATTAACCATAAATAAGTAAAGTTATAAAAACTAGTACCTCCGTCCCGCTATGATTGTCCCATTTTACCTTATCGATCCGTCCCATTAAAATTGTCTCATACCAAATTTGGTCAAGTTTGTGTGGTCCTAAATCATTCTTACTTTATGCTGACTTTATCAATTCAATATCAATCACATAAACCACTTTTTATTAATTTGCATGTCACTCCCTCTTGTCCCATTGTTAGCGGTACAGAGGGAGTATTTTTCTATCTGAATCCACTAAATATGGTGAAGAACACTTTAGCTATTTTAAATAATATTTCTTTTATTAGAAGAATATGATTTACAAACATTTTTTTATAATTCAGTCGATTTCACCAATTGAACCGCTTTAGTCAGAATTTTATCACTTTCTACGGATTCAATCAATTCACCCAATTTCAGGGTTGACTTTGAATAATAGTTCTAAAAAGTCAAAATATTTTTGAACATCTGAATATATCACAAAGCCTCTTTGGTAGCCATAATTTCATTTCATCACCCTCACCACCTAGTTTATCATAAAAACATATTTTTTTATTTTGCGTACTGATTTCTATAATAATCAATATAAGTAAGGTTGTAGTTCATTTCTAGCTAATTTGGTTGAAATTACTCTAGATGATCTATTTAATTGTTTTCATATAGGTTTTTCTTTAGGAAAAAGGGTCAGATAGAGCCTCAAACTTACAAAAAATGTCAAATAAGACCTTATATTGGAGGTTCTGTCCGGCCGACGCCATTTGGGGTGGTTTCTGGTCGAATTTTTCAATGAAACTTTTTAAGCATCTTATTCATTAAGTCTAGTTAACTCATACCAATTTTCAGCTAAAACTTCAATCGGGAAGACATTCAAATAATTTCTTGAAGATAAGTGATCAATTAAAAGCGCAATTATCTTCAAGAATTTATTTGAATGCCTTCCCGATTGAAGTTTTAATTGAAATTTGGTATGAGTAAACTAGACTTAATAAATAAGTCGCTCACAAAATTTCATCGAAAAATTCCACCAGAAACCACCTCAAATGGTGTCGGCCGTACAAAACCTCCTTTAGAAGGCTTTATTTGACATTTTTTGTAAGTTCAAGATCCCATGTGACCCTTTTCTCTTTTCTTTATTTGGTCACTAAATATCAGGAATATCTTAGTGAAATAATTTGCTTCACACTGATAGTGAGATGTTGTATATTGGGAAACTGAACAACGTGGTTAATTTCAGAAAGATTTTTATTTTTGATAATTAATTGATTAATCCTCTAAACACGTCACTACGCCAGGACATAATTGTCCACTAACGCGGCAAATTGGGTGCGCAGAGCAAAAATAAAGGTGCGCCGAGATGCGGCGTTTCTTACAATAGTTCCACTTTTTCATTATTCATGAATAATCCAACCTTTTTATTTCATCTTCATTCACTGGTCCCTGACCGATTTATGACCTGTTATTCCAAGTTATTTTCTTATCTTTGTAAAACATTATATCATGGACCAGTGAATGAAGATGAGGTGCAAAGGTTGGATTATTCATGAATAATGAAAATGTGGGACTATTGTAAGAAAACCGCTAAAAGGTTGGATTATTAGTTTCCATTTTCCCTTTCTTTTATTTGAAAGCACACTATCGTCAAATTTTAAGAAGCACGCCGTCGTTTGGTTGTGACTTCTCAGAAATAATTAAGGGAAAATTCCCGAAATAAAAGTAAAAAAGTTTGAAAATTATAAAATTGGAATATCATGTTTTAATTTCTAAAATAAGAGTAATTAATGTCAAGTTTGAAAAATAATGACATGTTTAAAGTCTGTTACTGTCAAAACATGATAATAATTAGTCATATTTTAGGAATAAAAACATTATAGTCCTATTTTGGAATATACAAACGTGTTTTGTCCTATTTTGGGTAATTTCTCAATGATTAACCGTATTTTGCGGATGATAAACTGTATGTAATTGAATAATTTAAATATGAGTAAATAATGGAGAAAATTACCCTAATAAGACTAAAAGCTAATAAGTTTCCAAAAGTAGGACCACATACCACTGTAGGACCAAAGATAAATGTATTTGACCATAATACCCTTATTTTAAATGAGATGACATCTTCAACCATATGACCCCCTAATTCATCCCAACGGCAAAATCCACTACTCTCAAACCTTCCGGTTCGTTAATCCTCGCACCAATGGCGAAAGGACGAAAGAAAACAACTGCGAACCTCCCGTGCAGCATGCACCAGTCCAAGCAAATAATGGCGAACAAAATCTACTCAATCAAGCAGAAGAAATGACAAAGAAGAAGAAAATAGAGGACGAGTGATGAAAACGTATGATAAGAGTTCTAATGTTAGATTATGTTGTGATAGACACTAAATAAGTGATATGTGAAATAGTAGATTGTAAATACATAAAAATTGGTTAACCAGGTAATAATAGTGTTGTTGAATATAAAACAAGTCATTGTGCTGATATATTGAGTTCAGTACTATTTTGAATTAAATTGATTTGTGGTTTAGTGATGAAAAACGTATGATAAGAGTTGTATTGTTATATTATGTTGTGATAGACAATAAATAGGTAATAATATTGTTGTTGAATATAAAACAGGTGATTGTAAGATCATGTACGAACCCTGTTATGGTGACCAAAAAGAGTATCAGGCTGAACTGCTATACCAATGTCCATACTGCCATGGAAAGCATAAAAAATGCTAAATGAACTCCAGGCATTTAAGGAAGCAGTTTTTGGAAGCTTGTTAGAAATATGAAATCTTGAATGGATGAATGGTCAACTTCTTGTTCTAATAGCAGAAAATCATGTTAAAAAGCTTAACAAGAAGGTCTAGAAAGACACAATTTATGTTCACATAGGTAATAAAGTGGTGGATTTCAGAAAAAAGGATTTGGCATTAATAACGGGATTTTAGATGGGAGGTGAAAAACCAAAAATTCAAGACAATATAGGTGACATATGGAGAACGTATTTTAATGGAAGGAATAATGTTTCTAGGACAGACATAAGTAGAGCTTTTGAGGAGTTTGATAATATACTGGTGGAGAAGCAACCCTTAGATAGGGTAAAACTAGTTGTACTGGAGTTGATTTCCAATTACATAATTGGAAATCAAAAGTCAGTGAAATGTCCACGGATATACATCAACATGGTAAATGACCGAGAATTGGTCAACCAATATCCATGAGGGGATGAAGTGTGGGAAGATTTATTGGAAAAGGTGCCTAAATGGACTGAAAACATTAAAAAAGCAAAAAATGATAGGTTCACCTTTCCAGGTTTCATTTTTGCATTGCAAATTTGGGCATTTGAAAGTTTCCCAACTCTTAGGATGGCCCATGTTTGTAAGTTAGATGAAGATAGAAGGGAGTTATGGCCAAGGTTGCTGAGGTGGTCAACACCAAAGAAGACAAATATGTCGACCCTAGTAGATGCCATATTTCTAAATGAAGAGGTAAATCTATTTGTATAATGTCTATATTATGTGTCATGTAAAGTTATGCATTATGGTGTGAATTAACTTTTTATTGACTGTTTTTTCCTATGAAATACAGTTTGAATATATTAAAATGCAACCGGCAGAAGAGGAGCTTAAGATTCCAACAATCAATGCATTGTACCAGTCAATGAGGAATAAACCTGTCAAAAGAAGTAGTCTTACTCTTAACCATGGACTACCAAAACACAAAAAACGTGTGTTTTGATGCAGCTTATAAAGATGATGAAGTTCATGGAAGTCAAAATGATTTTCAAGGTGAACACAATGAGAGAGAAACTGAGAATATGAACCAACAGAAGAGTGATCATGCAACAAGTGGTCCGCACAGATTAAACTGTTTCATGAAGACAAGAACACTTGTTGGCAACCAAATTAGGGATAGGGTGGTTATACGAAATATAATGGCTGCAGTTGTACTACAATCCAAGGAAAACCAAAAACTTGAAAGTAGAGTGAAAGTGCTTGAAGAAGGAATGGAAAGGCTGCTCAATTGGCAAAAGAAGCAAACTGAGATGTTGGAGAGATTATTGCTTACAAAAAGCATAACAAATGAAGCAAACACAAGCAAAGAAGAAGATATGGACATTGATAAGAATGAAACGCTTCAGAAGAAAGTACATGAAGAACCTTTCATGGACGTTGGACGACATGCCTAGTTTTGACTTGCATCTCAGTCTAAGTCAGAAGTTGGATGAAAAAATCATGGAAAAGGAGACAATGAGGTGGAAAGGGAGACAATGAGGTGGAAAAGCGAGACAGTGAGGATGGTGAAAAGGAAGGTTTATATGGTGAGGATGCACACCTTAGGCGCTCACAAGATGAGAATGAAGTAGCAAGTGATGAAGCAGATCCTATAGGCGCTAAAAAAGACAACATTATAATCAGTGAAGAAGTGGTACTCACTTGAGCTCATGCAAGCTAGCATTAACACACAGGAGTTGTAAA